ATTGTTTTGAGTTCCAGATGTTCTTGAGATCAGTTACTCGTAGTCAATTAAATTTTTAATCATGTTTGCTTGGTAAGAATATTCTGGTAAAAATGAAATTCTCCTAATATAAGTGTGTATGACATTCATACAATTTTAACGTAGTTTCATCTCGAGTTAACTTTATTTATGAATTCATCTGTTTCAGACTTCTCATTGATGCACATCCATTACACTACCTACAATCACATATTTTTATTTTATTTGAGATTCATTCGGTGAATTTATGTACTTGTAGTACAGTGTTGGTGTTCTTTAGTTTTAACTTGAGCCTAATATCCATAGCTGTAAACGTCAGAGTTTTAACTTTCTGTAAAATTAAATTTGCATTCTCAATTTAATTGTTATCCATCATTTAAATTATTGTAATCAAATTTTAAATTTAAGCAACACTGACTCATTTAATCGAGGGAGTAATATGCTTACATTGGTTGATCTATTCAGTGATGAATATCAAATATCTTGCAACTAATATAATAACATTTTTTTACTTTATTTTACACATTGTTTAAGTTCATTAATTTTTCTGCTCCAATTATTAGTATTTTAAATTTTGTAAAGATAATACAGATCATTACTTACGTAAAGTATTAATTACATTTTTATTCTAAATATTTAATAATTTAACATTATAGATATAATGAACAAATAGGTTATTAAAGTTCCAAAAGACTATAACTAAATAGACTATCAGCAAAAATGGATAGTGGCTAGTAGTGGAATCCAGGACGCGCGTTTCGTCCTATTTGAGACTCTTCACCTGGATCAACCTGCATCTCAGAGTTGATGTTCATTCTGGCACTCGAACCCAGTACCTTTCGCTTCACTCAGTGAGTGGATAACGCGATGGCGTTTGAAGCGAAAGGTAATTTATATTATATCCTATACATATTGATTAAGTTGATGAATAAAGCAGTACTTCAGGGAGAGTAAAATTATATTTAGAGTGAAACAGTTATTAACCACCAGCATTTGATAGCCATTACACTAATACGAAAGTTAATCAAATTTGTGGTTGTCGATCATTTGATACTAACAAAATGGTTAAAGGGGGTACTCACATATTAAAAATATGAAGTCCCTAGCTGAATCATCTTTGCACACCGTTAAGGAATTTTAAACGTCCATGAAATATCTAATTCACTACTTCTTGATTTTCAGTAATTTGTCAGTTGACTTCAATCCATGATGAAAATCATCTAAGCATTTAACAAATATTGTACTCCAGTTTCTGTTGAATCCTATCCTGAAAACTATCAATACTTCTAAGGCCTGTTCAATCACGGTAAATATGAGTAGGCTGCGTGCGATATCACTAAACAATGAAAACTATTTATGTTAATCGATGAAATGAATAATAAACCGTTTAAATTGGACACGTGATTGAAATCATTTTTATTATTATATTCATCACAATAGTTTTGTATACTTGGTTTAATTGAAGAAGAAGAAAGGTAATAAAAGCAGTAATTATCATTCGAAATATGAAATATGCAAGAATAACGCAACGATATTCAAATGGCTTTTACAATTTGCTTAATGAAATATATTAAAAGTCATCTGCAGTCTACTACACACTTTTCACAATATTAATTATCATAGTGTACTTCTAGAAAAGTATGCAGTTCTAACCTTTGGGAAAAAATTGCAACTAATCTGATGAATAATTTTTTACTTAATTTATCAAACAAACTGATGATATAATTGACAAACTTAAACAAAAGTAAACAGTTGAAAGATCGATTTCACTAAAAATTGACATCGACTAAAAGTACACTAAAAAGAAATGAACTCTTGAGAGATATTTTGTCGTAATTGGGTTCTCCACATAACTACTAACTTTTGACACTAAATGATACTGAATCTAGGACCCTTAATATGTGTCATAAAAATGATTATCAAGAGTATAAATTATAATTTCTAATTGACATATATTTCAAACTTTTTTACATCGATCGGTTTAAATTTTACAAATCCTTTTTTTTCTTATTCACTGTAAATAAAGTTTTTATTTAGAAGTTTTAAAAGAAAATATTTCATGTCAAAATTGAATCCAAACTTCTATCTTATATCATTTTCACTACTTATATCAACAATTGTGCATTTTTGTGTTACATAATATGACATATATTCGATATAATATTAAAGATAAAGTTTTAGATCTAATTAAGAAAAACAATATCTAATTTGTAATACAATTAAATCATATGGTAATGCGGGTTTAAATGCACTGATTGAATGACTTTAAGAGATAATATATATATATTTATAATTGTTATAACTGGCGGGTTGTGAACGCTATATTTGCTTCCCTAAGCTAGTTCCGTACCCCCGAGCTAGAACTATACACCAGACCAGAGAAAAGACACGAGTATCAGAGAAACACTTTACTACAGGGTTCATTTATGTACAGAAAATACAGGGGTTTTATAGTAATTAAGAGACCTTGAGTTTCCATAGTAGCAGTGTGCTAAACAGTCAATCAGGATCTCGTTATTTTAGTAGCATAGCTTCTATTAATCGCTGATTGATTGGGGCTCTTTATAAGCCTTTGGAGGCTCTGATAGAGTTTACTGTAAGCCGACTTAACGATAATGAAATGCCTTTTACTAATAACAATTAAGTGTATCGTAAGCAAAGATGGATAGAGGCTAGCAGTGGAATCCAGGACGCGCGATTCGTCCTATTTGGGACTCGTTGGCTGGATGTACCTGCATCTGGAGTCCCAGAGTGAACATCAACTACGAGATGCAGGTACATCCAGCTGACGAGTCCCAAATAGGACGAATCGCGCGTCCTGGATTCCACTGCTAGCCTCTATCCATCTTTGCTTATAATGCTTGTGAATTAAGGCTATATCGAAGCAATAAGCACAGTATGCACATATGGCCAAAAAGAGACTGACCAGTTACAGTCCTAAACATCACTGGGAAGATTCAAACAAACAATACTAAATGAATTAAATGTATCGTTGGAAAATATCTAAAAAACACATGAAGAATGGTATGTTTATATATAGGTATGAAATTCATAGGTTTTTGTTTACCTGTCCAAAATATTTTCGGGTACTATTCTTTTTTACGTACTATTCGTTTTCACGTTAAGCTAATGAAAATACTTATTTTTACATGAGCATACGTGTAGCTTTTTGTATTGAAAGAGATTTTTCTATTATTGTACATAGAAAAAGATCAAAGTAAATTGTATCGAAATGTTTTTCACATTAGAGTTCGAATTACATTGTAGTCAACAAAATGAGGTTAACATTAAGGACTAGACATTAAACGTTTAGATAATAATAAATGATGAATTTTCAGTAAGTAAAAAACATTGTAAGAAATAAATTTAAAGTATTCAGATGTTATATATAGTTGAAATCATGAGTCAACTGAAGCTAGACCACTATGGAAAACCTGGAAGCACTGGAAGGCCGTTTTGTCTTATTGTGGGGCACCTCAGCAGTACGCATCCACGATCCCACCTCGCGAGATTCGAACGTAGAATCTATCAGTTTCGCGAGTGAGCGCTTAACCCCTAGACCACTGAGCCGGCATCCAACGGTGGTCTAGCTTCAAATGATTCATGATCTCAACTATTCAAATAAAATTGGTTAGAATTTTTGAAATAGTTTTTATAATTAATTTATATTTTAGATTATATGATAAAATACAATATACTACTAACGATAGTAACTTAATATTATTTATAAAATTATTTAAATTTAGACAATTTACCTATCAAACTAATTATTACCAATACTAGAAAAATATTTGACAATTTAAAACTATTTACAGAGGTAATTATTCGAAGTGATGTTTATATAGTTGTGAGAGATAATAATTTTCTAAATTAAAGATTCGTAATGAAAAAGAGAGTGATGCTTATCTACTTTTGGATAATTTTAGAATGGTTGGGATAAGGCTTCTATTAAATGGATCTCAGGTTTGTAGGAATTTATCATGGCAGAATAACTAGTGAGTAGCGGTTCAGAAATTGTGATTATTATTATTTAGTTTTTAGGATAGTTGGTTAGAACTAGATTCTAGAGTGTCCTATGTTGGACTTGTTAGATGAATGTGTTTACATCCTAGTTTTTATTTTAACACTGAGACTCAAACGTAGTACCTTTTGATCTTAACCACACGACTGTTGCTGAAAACTTGTGGTTGTGTGCCAACACTAACACAATCCTCCCAGGGTACACATTTATCAATAAGAGGCAGACAGACGAGTTACAAATCCTTTTAAACACAATACCATAAAGACTTAGAGTAAACGATGAGACAAATAAACAGTAAGGAAGAGCTTGAAATGTGAATACATAATATTTTATTCACACCATACAATGTAGTTTATCCCTTCATATTGTTTAGTCATAACACCTACAATCAGTCATTAGTATGAAGCTTATTTTTATTACAGAAAGCTATTTTACATTAAGTATTAGATGAAAATCGATCAGTTATACATGCCTACATAGTGAACTAACATCATTTTGTAGTGTTGAAATAAGTTGAGATACATTTGAATGATACTATTTAATTAAACTACCTAAATAATATTATTTGGAGATTTAGTATGGAAGTCATGTAGACTAAATAAGAACAGTAAGATACGATACAGGTTTAAAAATTTTAAAGTTATATTACAGCATTTATTTTAATTTAAAGTTTATTTAGCAGAATTCAGATTCAGTGACAGGGGGTTTATTTGTTTTATTTTGAAAAAGTTGAGAGGAACGGAAAAACGGATACTTAATATATAAAAAGAAGTCCCATGCTTAAGATATCTTGTTGAATAAAGATATTTTCAGTAGGCACAAATCATTTTTAAAAGCATTCTGGATAGTTGGAGTAGTGGTTTATAGAGTGACAGTAGCACAAATGTTTGATGTGATATATTTGATGTCAATCACTTGATAGGGTGATATGGTAAAAAAAGATAATTATTAGAAAACTTACACGAAAAGCTGTTGAAACAGGTATCTGTTTTCCGCTATATGCTTGATATGCATAATGTTTACTTAAATCTATTCGTACAACACCTGTAGGTAAACCTTTAGTATCGATTCGTGCTAATGTTTGTGGTGCATGTGCATCTTGATCTAGTTCAATGAATAAATCATCCATTCGTTGAATACATTTTTCTCCAATGTTTGAACATTTTGTATTATCTTTAAGTTCATACCTTATAGGAAAGAAAAAAAACAATATTTATTACTCAATAAAGTAAATGAATAAATAAAACTAATAAATGAATGACATATCTTAATTTTTCCCTACTGATTGCTAACAATCATATAACAATCAATACCGCAAGTCATTAGTTTATTTATGAATCAACGCATTCATTGTTTTTGAAACATTTAGAAAAACATTTTACTATTATCTTTCTGAAATCCATTCCACGATATTCATGATCTCCAATAAACAGTTTTTTAATAACAGACATATACAATCATTATAAAACTTGCAACGTGATGTGAATCTATTTATTCCCTCTCTATACATGAATCGATCAGCCAGTGAAGAACAGACATCACTGATCTACTAAATTATACTTTCTCAACAAAATATGGGATAATTAGTTGTAATCATAATAACGGTTAATAGATATTGAAGGCCCAAACCAAACTGTAAACTTTCAACGAAAAGTAACTAACAACCTGTCTGATAGGACATGACAATAATGAAGGTGGGCAGTTGTTAGTGAATTGCAATGATAATGAAGGTTTTCATAATCATAAAATATGTTTATTAAAATACGACACTAATGTATTAATTCAGGTACTTTTCGCTGTGATTTTCTCCTATGCCAACTAACAATGAGCCTGATAGCATATTTAATGCATATGATAAGCGAAAGTATGGCTCATGTAGAATTTTCACCCAATCATAAAGTGTCAATAAAAAAATCTCTGGAAGATCGACTAAACACCTAGTATCATTCTATTCTTTCCTATATTCTTTCAAAGCATAAACTCATGTGATAAAATATATAAAGTACAAGACTACAACACTCCATAATTTACATAAATTTGCTAACGGAAAAAGATTAAAGAACAGGTAATGAGTAAAATAACGACAAACAATTAAGGCGATAAAAAATATCATAAACCATTTTTATTCACTAAGTACTCTAGTAATATACATACTGCATCTCTGGAAAATAGCTTAAAAAGTTTTACATTTTCATCTATTCGCCTTGTCTTGATAAGTTTGTAGGGATATTTTAGATAAACCGTAGTCTTCATCTTGATTTAATATCAATGTTAGAGTCGTCAAAACTAAGTAAATACTAGATAGTTGATTGTAACATGGGCGGTTATAAGCATTTCAAACTTAAGATGTCAGTCATCCAGGTTAGGATCATTCAATATTCAAATCGAGCAGAACACATTTTCAAGTTCACTATGTCTGTTTTATTATATAACGCACATCCAACAAAACTCGTAAACTACTGTTTTTTTATATTTGCAACCTGATATATTGGATTTTACTTTGTTTACTTTTACTTAAAATGCTTACAGATGGACCTGAAAATCATACGCAGGATGATGTTTATTCTCGTCGATGTGTTCGGCTGAATGATTTCAAAAAACATTTAGTCAGCAATTCATTATAAGCTACACTAATATCCCAGTTGAAATTACTTTATTATAAAAATTACCTATAAATTAATATCAATATCATCGTTAATAAACCCTGGATATTATTGATTTTTTATGAGAAATAAGAAAAAAAAATTTCTAAATGATTTAAACAATTTTAAAATGTTTAAATTAAAATCAACATGCAAACAAATAAAGTCTAATTTTATTTTATATTTATTATTCTTACGAGAAAAGAGAATACGTTCTAGATTGTTTTATATATTCAATGGAATATATTCAATATTCATATCGTTTTTGTTTCTTCTTATGTGACTTTATTTTTATCAATAATTATTTTGATACATTTTTTCCGATTATTTTTGAGATCTGTTTGAATATATAGTTGATGGATGATATCATTGTGAATAGATAAATAGGCTTGATAATGAAGAATAAATATATTAACTTACTAATCATCGGATATGAACAAGGGTTGAACAGAAAACAGAAAGCCTTAAAAGTGAAGTAGAATTACTAGGTGACACTATGATGTATAGTTTTTTAGTGTGATATGGTTGTAGGTAATTGAAAGAAAAAGATGTATGAAGGTCCTGTTAGCTTTTAGATTCGTAATCTGGACATAATAAAATCTGTTACTAGAATACAAATGGTTCTGTTCACTTGACTGCATACACTATGACCAACGTCTATTATAAGTAAGTTTTGTTCATATATAGTTTCCATATGATAACTAGTATTATATCTTTTTCCTTAAATGATACCAATCTTTTCCCCGAACAAGGTACAAAATGTTCTCCAAAAGTGTAGGTCATATTAAATGAGCTGAAAATAGCTACAAAAATTAGAGTTAGTCTACTATTTGACTTCTGTGATGATAAACCGAAGAAAATGAACACCAATCAATTCATCAGGTCCTATGAAAGCAATTATATCGGGTACACAACAAATTTAATCTGCTGAAGAATCTATTGAATGAAATATTTGAAAATTAAAATAACTCGATTCGTCTCTCAATTATCTATCTAATTGACTGTCATCAGTTTTACAGACTTTTGTCGGTGCTTAGTTCTCTAAGGTGGATGTCCTAGTTGCATATCATTTATTGTCGTTTGAATCTAATCATACATATATAGAATGCAGTTATCCAAGAGCTAGAAGTCTACGGAGCAGTGTTATCTTGGACACGTAAGTCACTTTACATTGCTGTCCCGTAGGTGTGTAGGGTTTTCAGGACGTTTTGGGAGATGTACGCTGCACTTAGCTACCTAGATTTTAGCGCATTTATATCAGTTTATGTTGCGTTCGTTCACTGAGACTGAAAATACTGTATACATTGCGGCTATCATTTATGAAAACTATGAGCTGTTGGAATAAGTTTAAAGATCCTCTTTAGAAATGATTCTAGGAATCTGAAATTTTTCTCATAGGATTCAGTTGATTGAACTAAATCTATCTTCCTTATCGTGCTTAACCATCTTTGATTAGATTACTTAATTTCGATTTCGGATTTCAAACGCGGTGACTTTTTATTTATTTACTGCAACTGAGCATTAGGCAAAACACTTATAAACAAATAGAGCTATTTGTCTCAAAAATATCAAACCCTTTTACTGTAAATTTATTGAATAGATGGTTGAATAGACAGAGAGATTCAATAAGATCAATACAAGTATTCTTATTTATTGGCTTTATAAACTAAAAATCAGTTAGAATTCGTTCAATATGGACAAATAGATAATATAATATTGATTACCATTTGGCTATTCATCAATGCAGTATATACTCTTATTAAACTGAACAGTTATTCCTTTTTTATTTATGCTTCCATACATTGTATTGCTTTTTTCAACAAACATTTCATATATAAAGGCTACACAAAACAGACAAATATACATAATATATAATATACTATGAATGAATTATTCTATTTAATATAACAATGTTTTCATGGAAATCAATCCATCAGTATTCAGACAACTATAATCGAATATTTTTTCTATTAAATGATGAAAGTATAATTAGAATAAATGAGATATTTATGTGAAACAAGCTACAGGATAATAGCATATAATGGGTAAAATAAACTCAAACACTGGGTGGAAGTGTGTGTTTGTTGTCTTTTGTTTAATTTACCGTCCAAACGTACTTTTTATTCATAAAAATGAAGGATTATATTTCATTTGATTTGCCATGTTATTAAACGCAACATATGGTTTATATTACCTTTCAGGTTTTGCAAAAACTACTCTCTCTGATTTATTCTAATTGTGATATATATTCTCAAGCTTTTAGAAACATGAGATATTCGGGAAAACATAATTGACGTAAAGAAAATATTAAAACAAGTTCCATTATCCATGATCCAGTATCATAATTATGCACTGATTACGAAAGTAGCATTGACTGACACCGTTTTGAATTGGTTTGTTTTAGTATGTATGTGATTATTTTAACAAATGATATTCTGATATGATATCTTTGTAATTAAATTCCTAATACATATTGAAATGATTTTCCAAGGTATTCGAAATCAATTTTTACCAAAACATGATGGGAACTAACGGTACAGACAAACATACATGTAGTTATAGAGTTTAATTACAAATTAATTAATTTTGAGTGATTTATAATAAAAAAAATTGTAGTGAATAAGAACACTGGTGAAGACAATTGAATGTTCTTAACACAAATTACAAATCATCTCACTAAATTCTCATAACCATACAATGAACAGTTAATTTGCAAAATAACAATCAATCATCTCAATCTTATTTGTTCCTTCTGTAAATATCAGTCCGTCTTCTTTGATTTCATTGTTATGCATTTTTGTACCGATTGCGCTTCATTTCTGTTCGCTCCTTATTGATCTTCTGCCAAAATACATTCTATCTCTGACCATCACCATATACTACTTGTATGGATATAAGTAGACCACACCACAACATTACTACTTAACAATATCTAATTTCAACAAAACAAGTAACTACTAACTATGGTAAATGATGATTTAAGTCGAATGATTTTTATACTAAGATTCCATGGATGATTTTATACAAGTAATTAGTGCATTTACTCAGTTAATTATTAATATTATTAATAATTGCTATATATATTACTAATAATTGCTATTATTGCTACTAAAATAATCTCATCTTTATATGAATAAGTCTACTTTTGTTTCCAAGTCATTTAGTTAATCAGCTAGTCAGTTACAGCAAGGAAATTTGTGATATGTTTAAATAATGTTTACATTAATGAAGGTACATACTCATTTAAAAATTCACGTATTTTTAAAATATGAAATTTTATTCACTCACTTATTATCATTAAATGGATTAAAATTATATAGAGTTGAGACCATGAGTCAATTGAAGCCAGACCACCATCGAAAACCTGAAAGCACTGAAAGCTGTTTCGTCCTATTGTGTGACGTCTCAGGGCTGCGCATCCACGATCCTACCTCGTGAGATTCGAACCCAGGGTTTACCACTCTCGCGCCAGTGCACTTAAGCGATAGACCACTGAGTTGGCATCCAACGGTGTTAATGTCTAACTTCAACCAATCCACGAAATT